AAAATTTTCAGGTTAAATGCCAATGATTGGAAATTAAACGACGAGCTCAACGAGGTATGACATTCCTCATTCTGACTTATATTTTTGTTATGGCAGCCAAAAAACTGAATTTTTATGGCGAAAAAAGGGTTAACATTTTTGTCAAAAATATAAAATTCAGATTTTTGTAAAAATTCGACATTTTTTTCCGGTTTTTCATCGTAGTTCCCAAATAAGGCGTACAGCTAAAAGACCGACTGTTTTGAACAGCTTGCTAAATATGCTAACGATCCTCATCACTTTTTGGAAAATTTATTTTTTGACCAATTTTCTCAATTTTTGTAGGGGTTTCATCACTTTTTTCAAAAAATGGCAAAAATTAAAAATTTTCAGGTTGAAATGCCAATCGATTGGAAATTAAACGACGAGCTCAACGAGGTATGACATTCCTCATTCTGACTATATTTTGTTATGGCAGCCAAAAAACTGAATTTTTATGGCGAAAAAAGGGTTAAATTTTTGTCAAAAATACAAAATTCAGATTTTTGTCAAAAATTCGACATTTTTTTCCGGTTTTTCCATCGTAGTTCACCAAATGAAGGCGTACAGCTAAATGACCGACTGTTTTGAACAGCTTGCTAAATATGCTAACGATCCTCATCACTTTTTGGAAAATTTATTTTTTGACCAATTTTCTCAATTTTTGTAGGGGTTTCATCCTTTTTTTCAAAAATGGCAAAAATTAAAAATTTTCAGGTTGAAATGCCAATCGATTGGAAATTAAACGACGAGCTCAACGAGGTATGACATTCCTCATTCTGACTTATATTTTTGTTATGGCAGCCAAAAAACTGAATTTTTATGGCGAAAAAAGGGTTAACATTTTTGTCAAAAATATAAAATTTAGATTTTTGTCAAAAATTCGACATTTTTTTCCGGTTTTTCCATCGTAGTTCAGCCAAATGAAGGCGTACAGCTAAAAGACCGACTGTTTTGAACAGCTTGCTAAATATGCTAACGATCCTCATCACTTTTTGGAAAATTTATTTTTTGACCAATTTTCTCAATTTTTGTAGGGGTTTCATCACTTTTTTTCGAAAAATGGCAAAAATTAAAAATTTTCAGGTTTAAATGCCAATGATTGGAAATTAAACGACGAGCTCAACGAGGTATGACATTCCTCATTCTGACTTATATTTTTGTTATGGCAGCCAAAAAACTGAATTTTTATGGCGAAAAAAGGGCTAACATTTTTGTCAAAAATATAAATTTAGATTTTTGTCAAAAATTCGACATTTTTTTCCGGTTTTTCCATCGTAGTTCAGCCAAATGAAGGCGTACAGCTAAAAGACCGACTGTTTTGAACAGCTTGCTAAATATGCTAACGATCCTCATCCTTTTTGGAAAATTTATTTTTTACCAATTTTCTCAATTTTTGTAGGGGTTTCATCACTTTTTTTCGAAAAATGGCAAAAATTAAAAATTTTAGGTTGAAATGCCAATCGATTGGAAATTAAACGACGAGCTCAACGAGGTATGACATTCCTCATTCTGACTTATATTTTTGTTATGCAGCCAAAAAACTGAATTTTTATGGCGAAAAAAGGGTAACATTTTTGTCAAAAATATAAAATTCAGATTTTTGTCAAAAATTCGACATTTTTTCCGGTTTTTCCATCGTAGTTCTCCAAATGAAGGCGTACAGCTAAAAGACCGACTGTTTTGAACAGCTTGCTAAATATGCTAACGATCCTCATCACTTTTTGGAAAATTTATTTTTTGACCAATTTTCTCAATTTTTGTAGGGGTTTCATCCTTTTTTTCAAAAAATGGCAAAAATTAAAAATTTTCAGGTTGAAATGCCAATCGATTGGAAATTAAACGACGAGCTCAACGAGGTATGACATTCCTCAGTCTGACTTATATTTTTGTTATGGCAGCCAAAAAACTGAATTTTTATGGCGAAAAAAGGGTAACATTTTTGTCAAAAATATAAAATTCAGATTTTTGCCAAAAATTCGACATTTTTTGCGGTTTTTCCATCGTAGTTCTCCAAATAAGGCGTACAGCTAAAAGACCGACTGTTTTGAACAGCTTGCTAAATATGCTAACGATCCTCATCCCTTTTGGAAAATTTATTTTTTACCAATTTTCTCAATTTTTGTAGGGTTTCATCGCTTTTTTTCAAAAAATGGCAAAAATTAAAAATTTTCAGGTTGAAATGCCAATCGATTGGAAATTAAACGACGAGCTCAACGAGGTATGACATTCCTCATCTGACTTATATTTTTGTTATGGCAGCCAAAAAACTGAATTTTTATGGCGAAAAAAGGGTTAACATTTTTGTCAAAAATATAAAATTCAGATTTTTGCCAAAAATTCGACATTTTTTTTCGGTTTTTCCATCGTAGTTCAGCCGAATCAAGGCGTACAGCTAAATGACCGACTGCTTTGAACAGCTTGCTAAATATGCTAACGATCCTCATCCCTTTTTGGAAAATTTATTTTTTGACCAATTTTCCCAATTTTTGTAGGGGTTACATCACTTTTTTTCGAAAAATGGCAAAAATTAAAAAATTTTCAGGTTGAAATGCCAATTGATTGGAAATTAAGCAACGAGCTCAACGAGGTATGACATTCCTCATTCTGACTTATATTTTTGTTATGGCAGTTTATGAAAATATAACGAAGTTCTTCAGAGACCTTAATGTAAACGTATTAGAGAAACCCAACATGATCACCCAAGCAATGACACCTTGAAGGAAGATTGCGCCCACTTTATAGAGAAATCTCACACACTACCTCCAAAAAAGAAGATTCAAGTACGTCCGCTTGAGGAGATCGTAGTGAAGGACAATCATGGATTTTGGAACACGTGGAATATCTTGGTACTTGGTGTTCTATTAACTTCCTTATTCGTAAATGCAGTTCAGATTTGGCAACTCTACCGTTTGAGAGGAAGACACGTCATTCCGCAGGAAACACCTTTATCTTCAATGGAATCGATGTTCTTTAGAGACGAAGAAATGCTTAATTAAAAACTTATCCGCAAGGAAGACCACATTTTCAGTGAAAACGGTATTCCCCAAAGACCAAGAAATACTTTATTAAAAGTGTAACATTTACTTAATTAGTCATTTATGATTTTGTACTTAGTATGTATAAACAACTTTCCACTCAGAAAGACTAATACTGTTCCTTAAAGAAAACACTGCAGGTATAACATATAATGTTAATAAAAACATCAAGAACTGAATTCATGTTTGTTTCTTTTGAAATCTTTTGGGACTTCTTGAACTCAGACACCAAAACTGTTGTTGTATGAGAGCAACGGCAGATAAGGAATACCCAGAGTTCTCTGATTATATTATTTAAATGCGCGCCGACCTATCGAATGTGCTTATAAGCCGAATGATTGTATTTTCTGGAGTATAACAGCTGATCAGTTCCACCTCTATTAATTAAGCTATTGTATCGTACAAATGTTTACCCGGTTTCTAAAGTTATCCTCGCTTTGAACTTCGCGAGTGTCAGCTAATGCCTGTCCTTAAACAAAAGTCAAGGAATTACACCAAATACTTTAAAAACAGGGTACTTTACTTTTGAATCAGTGTACACGTTTAAAATTACAAATTTCATTTAATTTTTAGCTGGAGCCCAGCATCAGCCATTCAACGAATCGTAATATTTTAAAAATAGAACATGTTTATTCAATATCTCCTTCTCGTATCTGTTATTGTTGTTTTGGGAAGCGACGTAAGTTTAGAAGATTATAATCCACAAATCTTCAAGTTAAGGAAGAACTTTTTTTTAAGGTCAATCACATTTCTTCAGGAGAGAACCACCAGGCTTCGTTCAAGCGTAAACATCTAGTCATACATAAAAGAGAAGTAGAGAGCGAACCCGAACATAGCACCCAACCCACAACCCAATCCATTGGCCAATCCAATCCTCAAGTTGAAATCAATCCCAAAGCCAAACTGCACAAATGGACCTTCTATGACATCCTCATCGTAATATTCCTGGTTTTTGTGGTGTTATATGTAAGAATGAGCCTGTATAAAAGAGATGGAGACAACTGCTGCTTCGGGTGCAAGTGGGGGAGGACAACCAATGAAAGGCCCGAAACCAGGATCGGGATCCTTAATCAACAAGAAACTGAAACATAGATCTGTGTAAAAACGAATCATTCATTTTTCGCTATCATCATTTTTATATCACAAGTGCTTTTTACTTCACATCTTTTCAAAAATATAACGAAGTTCTTCAGAGACCTTAATGTAAACGTATTAGAGGAAACCCAACATGATCACCCAAGCAATGACACCTTGAAGGAAGATTGCGCCCACTTTATAGAGAAATCTCACACACTACCTCCAAAAAAGAAGATTCAAGTACGTCCGCTTGAGGAGATCGTAGTGAAGGACAATCATGGATTTTGGAACACGTGGAATATCTTGGTACTTGGTGTTCTATTAACTTCCTTATTCGTAAATGCAGTTCAGATTTGGCAACTCTACCGTTTGAGAGGAAGACACGTCATTCCGCAGGAAACACCTTTATCTTCAATGGAAACGATGTTCTTTAGAGACGAAGAAATGCTTAATTAAAAACTTATCCGCAAGGAAGACCACATTTTCAGTGAAAACGGTATTCCCCAAAGACCAAGAAATACTTTATTAAAAGTGTAACATTTACTTAATTAGTCATTTATGATTTGTACTTAGTATGTAAACAACTTCCACTCAGAAGACTAATACTGTTCCTTAAAGAAAACACTGCAGGTATAACATATAATGTTAATAAAAACATCAAGAACTGAATTCATGTTTGTTTCTTTTGAAATCTTTTGGACTTCTTGAACTCAGACACCAAAACTGTTGTTGTATGAGAGCAACGGCAGATAAGGAATACCAGAGTTCTCTGATTATATTATTTAAATGCGCGCCGACCTATCGAATGTGCTTATAAGCCGAATGATTGTATTTTCTGGAGTATAACAGCTGATCAGTTCCACCTCTATTAATTAGCTATTTGTATCGTACAAATGTTTACCCGGTTTCTAAAGTTATCCTCGCTTTGAACTTCGCGAGTGTCAGCTAATGCCTGTCCTTAAACAAAAGTCAAGGAATTACACCAAATACTTTAAAAACAGGGTACTTTACTTTTGAATCAGTGTACACGTTTAAAATTACAATTTCATTTAATTTTTAGCTGGAGCCCAGCATCAGCCATTCAACGAATCGTAATATTTTAAAAATAGAACATGTTTATTCAATATCTCCTTCTCGTATCTGTTATTGTTGTTTTGGGAAGCGACGTAAGTTTAGAAGATTATAATCCACAAATCTTCAAGTTAAGGAAGAACTTTTTTTTAAGGTCAATCACATTTCTTCAGGAGAGAACCACCAGGCTTCGTTCAAGCGTAAACATCTAGTCATACATAAAAGAGAAGTAGAGGCGAACCCGAACATAGCACCCAACCCACAACCCCAATCCATTGGCCAATCCAATCCTCAAGTTGAAATCAATCCCAAAGCCAAACTGCACAAATGGACCTTCTATGACATCCTCATCGTAATATTCCTGGTTTTGTGGTGTTATATGTAAGAATGAGCCTGTATAAAAGAGATGGAGACAACTGCTGCTTCGGGTGCAAGTGGGGGAGGACAACCAATGAAAGGCCCGAAACCAGGATCGGGATCCTTAATCAACAAGAAACTGAAACATAGATCTGTGTAAAAACGAATCATTCATTTTTCGCTATCATCATTTTTATATCACAAGTGCTTTTTACTTCACATCTTTTCAATAAGCCTTGTTATTTAAGTAAATATATGTCACACATATTTTCGTAATGTTTAATGTTATACTACATGATGTTATATTAACTTGATCATGAAAAGAAAAGTTAATGGGCTACTTTAGAAACGAATTTAGAAGTGAGGTAATTGTAATGAGGTAGGTCTATGGGAACAATTGGGTCAAAATATGAACTTGGTCCACCCAGAACGTTATCGCTATAAAACATGTGGAGAGAGCTTTACTTTGTTGTGATCAGCAAAGCTTCCCGGGGGCTTTATATGAGAACCCTCCCAACCCGCTGATCCAGCAAACAAGATGATAAGAAAACGATTCTGTTTGCATCTCAGAACGACTTCAGTGCATTATTTGCGGTGTGACAAAGCGCGAGCAAAGTGGCATATAAATAATATGGATTTCTTCATATATATTTTGATTGGAATTTTTGGCTTTAAATTAAGCGATGCTGTCTCTGTATATGATGCCAACGGAAGCTTAAATATCAGTGCCAGTTGTCCGGATTCATTTTGTATATTAAGTGATCGACTGGAGGCTTATTCAGCAACTCCGGCTCTTGGAGTCCGGGAATTGCACTTGACGAACTGCAGCCGCCAATCGCTCACCTGGCGGGTTCTGAGTCTAACGCCCGGTCTTCGGACATTGGTCATCCGGAACTGTGCCTCCTATCACATCAGCAAAGAGAGCTTGAGGTCCGTGGGGAACCTCACCTCCCTGCAGATGCAGCGCACTAGTCTCGGTGTCCTCCGGGATGAGATCTTTGCGACGGTGCCACGCTTGGAGATTCTGGAACTGGGTCAAAACATTATACACACAGTGCACATAGGTGCCTTCAAGGGCTTGTCCAGACTAAGATTACTGGGTCTGCAGGGCAATGGGATTCAAGAGATCCTAACGGGTACTTTTGTCCCCTTAATGGAGCTAGTGCATTTGGATTTGAGCAGCAATCAACTTACCAGCTTGCCACAAGATATCTTCGTGAAAAATACCAAGTTACAAACCCTTCTTCTGAATGGCAACCTAATAAAGACTCTTCTCCCAGAAGTTCTTAGTTCTTTGCCCAATCTTCGACTGCTCGACTTGGGACGTGCTGGTGCATTGGAAATTCTGACTCTGAACCTTCACAACATCGAGCATATTATCTTGGAGGGCAGTAGTCTGGCTAGTTTGGTCATTAATGGAGGCTTTATGAGACTGCATGCGGCAAACAATGAGCTGAGTCAACTGCATGTGGGAAACAAGAGCTCCGTCATCGAAATGGATCTGCATGGTAACTTACTGAAGGGTAATGATACCGCCAGCCTTCTACGGGGCATGTGGAATCTCGAGAGACTGGATCTGTCGAAGAATATCATTGAAGCACTGCCGATACATGGAGGTGGTTCGGATGATTCGGATTTCCAGGAGCTGTTTCTCTTGCCCAGTTTAAAGTATCTGAATTTGGCCCACAACCGTTTGGTTAGTTTGCCTCCGGGTTCGCCAATTCTCTCATCTCGTCTCAATGTTTTGGACTTGGCCCACAATCTAATCCTAAACCTGGAGGTAGAGGCATTGAGAGGTCTGCCAGTTCTGGAGGGTCTTTTCGTGGAGGGAAATCGCTTGAGGAACTTCGACTACCAGCTCTTCCATCAGCAGCACGAGGATCTCAAGGAACTGGGACTGCATGACAATGCGTGGGCACCTGGTTTATACCGCAAAATGTTCGTTTACCTCAACGATCGAGGAGTTCACCTGATGGCGGGGATCCAGAAGAGCGACCCGATAAACAGCAGTGCGGTGGACATCGATTGGCCGCCAACTGGGGGCCAAGTGGATGCCCAGAAAATGGATCCACCGGGAGTGTCTGGCATACATCCTTACTGGACCCTCAGGGATATCCTGGCATTTGTCACCCTTGTGGTGGTGATGCTTATTCTGCTGATGAATCTATATCACATCCTGGAGGAAGAGGGCTGTCTAAGGAGATTTCGCCGTTGGAGGAGGTCAAATGTCTTTGGAGGAGGTTCTTCTTCGACTAGGAGTAGTGGACGCCGCCTCGACGAGCAGGACTCCGAAGTATGAGCCTGGTCAACACTTTGGCTTACTAGCTTACAATCCTTTCTCCGTTTCCCAAAACAGCACAGCTCCAGTGAATAGATGGGACAAGCTGCCAAACAAGCTGCTCCGCAAACCAAATAAACGCCAATTTGATGTCAATTTAGCGCTAGCCTTTCCTCTTTTCCCGGCGTGTTGTGGCAATATCTGGTGCTTCCTTACTTGTTTGCAGCTATCATCTGCTACCCTGTACTTATAATTTTAACGGAGTATGCTGTACTAAGAAATAACTCTCGAATGCAAAGGATTTTTTAAATAATATAATACCTTTAAGTAAATACAAAAGTTTAGATTTAATTTTGCTTCTTGAAATTAATCAGCTATGTGATCAAGCTTATCAAATTAAGTATATATATGTGAATTTTATAGGAAGATCTTTTATTATAAACATTTATATTTCAGTAACTCAGTTTTGTAAAATTGCGCATAATCTTTTTTGTAAAATCAGCAATTTATACAAAGGGTATAACCTCTGTCACATCTTCCAAACAGCAAGATCTATATATTTTGCATATGAAATCTTGGCTACGAGAGGATACAAACAGTGTCCAGACAGAAAGAAAAATAATACACTGAAAGACTTATAAAATGCACTATGGTTTGTTATTTACAAATAAAATAAAAATTAAAAAGAATACAAATCTTGGAAACTAATCAAAAAATATTATCTCGAAAAACAGTATGATTCTTTCAATTTCCTAGTTTAAATTACTACCATTTCTCTCTGTGTTGAGGAGAGCTCTTCGGAGCAGCCGAACAAGATGCACTTACAAGATTCGAACAAAATACGAATTTAATTCAAAATAATTGCACGGCATGCACAGGAGGACATGTGGACTGCTCTTTGGCCAAGACCAGTTAGGACTCTGCCTGGAAGTTGGCCATAAAAAGGGGTGGTCTCAGAAGGGGGGGAGGGAATAGGTAGACCTGGTTGAACATCGACTTTTCCGCCTTCGTTGCTGGCACTTCATGGCATGTTTCCTTCGAGGCCGTGGATTTTGTGGCGTTTGCATTTGCGTAGACCTTGCCACAAGCCCACAGACATATATGCATGCATTATAGCCCCGACTTGACCCGCCCCCCCTTCGAGGTATAGGGGTTCCTATGTACGTATACGTATCAACATGTTTTGGGTGGAAATTTTGCCCGTGTTTATGTTTGGGGGTCCTCTCCTTGGTGGATTTTGATAGGGCATCGCAATTTCTGAGAAATTGTATTTTGATTTATTTATAATGTTGCAGCGACATGCACATGCATCACACAAAGGTTGCTGTTGTTATTGTTGCATTTTCGATTGTGGTTACTATATATGGCTAGTTGTTGTTGTTATTACTGGGCATGCGAATCAAATCATTTTGATTAAATTAGAAATATGCAAATTATGTGCAGCTCATTAATTATGCGGCAGTAGAAGATTTGGTCAAGTGATAAGACAGGCAAAGAGAAGAGAGAAAGAGACAGGGAGTTCTGTAATGAAAGAGATGGGGAGATGGCGAAAGAGAGAGACAGCATCATCAATTCAGTGCGTCACAAATCGCCCGCAAAACGCGCGCAAATCGCTTGGCAATTAAATAACTTCACACCGCGCGCTAAGTGGGCGTGGCCGGGGACGCCCACACACGCCCTAAAATTTCGCATTTGAAATGTAAAGCGCACGCGGCTTTTCTGTGAAAAATATTTCAACGATTTGTAAAAAATCGAAAGGCAATAAATGCATTTTTATCCCTCAATTCTCTGGTTTTGAAAGGGGTGTGAGCAGGGGTATATTGGAATTGCTATCAGGGGATTCTGGCTTCACGGAGATAAAAACTACAAGCAAAAAGGGTTAAGGTATAATCAATAAATATGCACAGCTGTGGAAATTAATCACATTGTTACAAATTACGGTAATAATAGCTGCTAATGGCTTTGAAGTCAATTGATTTTTATTAATAAAAATCAATTTTTATTTTTATTCCTGGAAAATCTTACCCATAAATGTATTTAAAGAATGGTGACCCAGACATTAAAATATTGGTTTCTGAATGGACTCTCTTGTTTTATTATACCTACAGTTGCGGCAACAAAAATAGCACCAAAGTGTGGGCAATTTTTATTTGTGTACAAAATGGTCATTTTTTGCAATATTTTTCTTCTGTGTGTAAGGGTAAGTAGGTTTACATATCGTTTAACTAAAGTAAAAATGGTTGTGGGCGTAATGCGAATGGTTTTTAAAACTTCGATAGATTTATGAAAAAAGTAGCATAATTATGCGGCAACAAAAATAGCACTATTAACGGTTTTTGGGTATAAAACTTCATTTGCTCAGATTTGTTGGCTGTTTTTCGTTTTGTTGTATTAAGAATAAGTACTACTAAGTGAATTGGTAAAATAATGCATAAAATAGTGTTCCCAATGGGTCATTTAGCGCGCTGTAATGATACAGATAGAAGGACATTTAAAAAGCTAATTTATAAAGGCAATGCAAAAGATAAGTTAAGTTGAATCGTTGAATTCTTTAAAATAATGATTAGTAGTTACCTAAAACAAGAACACAAAAGAATAGCACGCAGTACGAAAGCCGCAATGACCCCATAACTGTTAAAAAGTCATTTGCATGAATGCAAGTAGGTCCCGTTTTAGGCGCCTATCAAGTCGCTTTTTTTTTTTTAATATTTGTAAGTACATAAAAAGTTGGATATAATGTACATAAAAATCAATTATGCGCTTGACGTCCAAAAAAAAATCTCCCTAGACTGCAGAGCATGGGTGAATTTGAAGGGCGAGTTTTAAATAAGGCCCACAATAAAAGGAACACTCTTATATGGTCTGGCGGCTGAAAATTGCTCATGTTTAGATGAAAAAGACTTTAAATTCACATCAGGTAACCTACATATCCAAAATTGAGTCCCCATTTCACATTTGCAAAGAATAATAATGGTGAAGCAAGTATAATGGTATGGGCATATTCTCGTACTATAATGTTGGTACCATATCATAATGTAAACCCATACAGGATCAACATGTTCACCTTGATAGCTCAGAAATTGTGATGCAATTTTATTCGTAATACAAAACTAATTTATTTCCGAAGCTTTACCACGGTTATAACCCAAAAAAAATCAGTCAGAAAGTCGTACAAAGTTTTAAAACCCTTAAGCTAAATGGTATAATGGGGACCTTACAAGCCCCAGAACTAAAACACATCGAAAATCTTTGCAGAAATGTTAAAAACTATGTTTTAATGCAAAACCGAAGAAAAAAAACTGCCCTCGAGCTATTTTGAAAGAGCCAGACAACAATTTTGCCAAGGGAAGATTCTGGTGTCTAGTGACGTCAAGGTCGGTCGTTGTTGTTGTTGTTGTTGCAGCCCAAGCTTTAGAACAATATTTTTTTACCTTAAGGTGTATGAAATCATACATTTCAATCAAAAAAAATTTTCAAATCGCGTTATTTTTAAGTTTTTTAAGTTTTTTATTTAAGTGGTGCTATTTTTGTTGCCGCATAACTTTGCTACTTTTTTGATAAATGTATCGAAATTTTAAAAACCATCCGCATTGTGGGCGTAACCACTTTTATTTTAGTTAATAGATATGTAACCCTACTTACCCTTACAAACAGAATAAAAATATTGCAAAAATTACCATTCTGTAGCACAAAGAAGAATTGCCTACACACTGGTGCTATTTTTGTTGCCGCAGCTGTACATAAATATGGGATATATTTTAAAGAGTATATTTAACCACTTATTAAAATAATAAAGAATGTTTATAAATATATACGATTAAGAATTCGGCCCAGATATATAAGAGACCTATGCTACCTAATCAACTTTATAATGATCCTTTATAGTACCACCTATTATACCTTATTCTGAAGTGGTAAACCTACTATTATCTAAACATATTTAATGGTGACCCTAATCCTTTGCAGTGACACCTATTATATCTTATTCTGAAGTGGTAAACCCACTATTATCTAAATATATTTAATGGTGACCCTGATCCTTTCCTTACTACCTATCAGATCTTATTCTGTAGTGGTAAACACACTGCTATCTAAACATATTTTATGGTGACCCCGATCCTTTAAGGTACCACCTATTCGATCTTATTCTCTTGTGGTAAACCCACTGATTGCAATTGCCACAAAACATAACGCGAGGGACCCCTGGAAAAGGCAATGCGAACCGATTCCGACTCCAAACCAATCCTGACCACAACAATTTACCAATCGTTCACGCGTCCCAGGGGCCGGCAGATTCTCCCTGCCATTGCGTGTATATCTCCGCACCGCCCCCGACCCGCCACGCCCCCCGGCGACCACCCCCTATCGATGTGCATTCGGTTTTCTCCCCCCCTTTTTTATTTTTTTCCCCTTCTTTTTTTTTGGGGTGGGCGTTGCCGCGGAGGCTGTGCAAAGTGTAAATTTATGATCATGCGATTTTTATCGAATGTGAATGTGAAAAAGAGTACAACGTTTTTTGCACTTTATAAACAACGGCAGCTAAAGGGAAAAAAAGAGAAGGCCAAAATTGTGGACTGGGCCGTCGGCCGAACGCATTATTATTAATACTCGCACGCCGTCTGTCATGTTTTGTATTTAGTCAATTTTTATGTGTGGTTTTATTGAGCGTTTTTTAGCACTTTATGCTGCCAAACCGCGGACACACCCCCACCGCCCCCTTCTGATATTCCAGCTTAGAGCCAGGTTATGGGTTATGGTCTGCCGAATGGATTGGATTGGATTGGGCTGGCTGTTCTTCCTCTACCCGATGCCGATCCATAAATCATGCGCCTTTTGGGGGTCGGCGTTTATCAAATTTTCGCACACTTGGCTCTCGACTGCGCTGGGTGGAAAATAGATTTTCCAAAAACCAAACGCCTGTTGGCGGCGACACGCCCAAAGACAAAAGTGCAAGGAAAATCTCCAGATGCTACCCGCCGGCGTTTCCCAACCTTTTCAGTACGGCACGACAATGACACTACGACCTGGCAGTCAGTCTGTCATCCAGTCAACCAGTCATTCAGCCATCCAGTCCAGTCACTCAGTTAGTCATTCATTCATTGGCTCACACGTGGCTAACTAGGGGTGTGGGGCTGGTTTGGCGTTAATGCGATTATTTTGTGCACTTTTGGCAGAGTTAATAAAAATTACTTCCAAACCAGTGAATGCCATACGTCGTGGAGCACTAAAGACACTTTAATGGCGATAGACAATGACAAACCCAAACCCAAGCCCAAAAACCCAGTCGAAAATGAAACCAAAGCAATAATTTTTCATTTTTCCCCATCAACAGCGAATGGTGCACTGAGAAAAGCTTTATCAACAATGGGTAGCTAAGGGGAATAAATGTTATATAAAAGAAGAAGATCTAAAAATATATGTCCTTAAAAGTTGATTAAAATATTTTTTGGCTTATATTAATAAGTTATAAGCTAGTAAAAAATAAAGTAAAGCATTTGTTTTCTTGTATTCTGAATGTAGAGGTTAAAGTTATATTTTGATTACAGATGATGATAGATTATATAGGTACTAAATTAAATACCTTAACAAACCCACCAACATTTTCTTTTTAAAATAAAATGTTTACAAAATAAAGTACAAAAAAT